TGCTCTCTCGCTCTCTCGCTCTCGTGCTCTCTCGCTCTCTCGCTCTCGTGCTCTCGTGCTCTCTCGCTCTCGTGCGCTCTCGCTCTCGTGCTCGCTCGCTCTCTCTCTCGCCCTTGCCCCTCACCCCCTTCCCTTTAGGCCACCTTCCCCCATCATGCCCCTTGCCCACAGATTACCCTAAACACGCTACAACATTTCCTGGCAACCTAACTCCTTAGCTAACTGACTTCTGAACCCCACATTTACCCGCAGGCACTTATCCTTTCACAGCAGCTGTTAAAGTGTCTGGCTGTGCTTCTAGAACAGGACACACTGACTGCCACACAAGAGGGTATAATTTGATTTCCCCTGGCTGTTCTACATTACGAGAGCGTTGTGTTTATTTCAGCTAAGCTTAGCATTTCTGAAGGAGCTGGGTTTGGATTTCTTGAATAAAAATGCAGATCTCAGTCCAAATGGAAGGAAATATAAGCAAGTGATCATCTGACTGATTACCACTCCTTGGAATATCCAGTCCATGTCATTTTATGCCAGTCCTATTTATGTTCAAATTATTTCAAAACCAGTTAATTGTCCCTGAGCCATTTATAACGTCCTGAGAATGTTCAACGAGCTATATAGAAGCAAGCTTCTTTTTTGTAGTTTCTCTTGTTGACAGAACTGCAGACCTTTCCTGAACTAGGAAATTGTTCGCTTTCTTATCTTTAGGCAATCCATTATTAATTGGTCAACAAGCAGAATTTTTTCCTCTGATATTTTTATCAAATTCCTGCACCAGGAAAAGTTAAAGTTCCTTTTGTTTGTGTTACAAAATAAAGAGGTCTCCTTCATATTGTCTTCTTGTAATTTTCGTCAAACTGACACATAAATTCCCTTCAAGTTTCACGTCCTTTTGTTTTACTCTGTGTTGCTACCTATGTGTCCTGTAGTTTGTCACATTGGCAGAGTGAAGTGAAATAAGTAATAATTTCTGCTTGTCATACCACACAGCTTTTGCTGTAGCTAAAATTGCTGTTTGGGAGTCAACAATGTTTCACCTACAGCAAGGGATCTGAGCTAAAAGCAATGTTCAACACTGATTTTCACTGCTTTAGGAAAATGCAACCATTTTGTATTTGGCCTTAAATTCCAAAAGTCGTCTTCATTGAACGGAGTCTGTCGAAAACATCCTCATGATTTTTCATGCTAGGCTCAAAGACTATATTATGAACAGGGTCTGCGTGTTTCTGGTGAAGCGCTCATTTTGCAATGCAAAATAAACAAATCTCTGATCTCTCCAGGGGGCCGTGGAACTAGAAGCACTCAATTTGACACACACAGCACAAGCAGCAGTTACCATGAAAGCTGGGATACAAGAACTGGATACACAGAAAGAGATCGATATGATCGAGACCAAAGCAGGGATGCTTCCTTTGATAGGCGTGGTCATACAGAAAGGGATAGGCGTGAAAATAGAGATCGCGAAAGAGGTATGGGCAGCAATGGATGATGACAGTGGTAAATTGAAGCCAAATCAGCCTTCCTCGTAACCTGAGCTCAGATCTATAAATATTTCCTTTGAAAGTTCTCAATACATTACAATTTGAATAAGAAGAGTTTTTTCATTGTTGTGAGTATATTTGAAATTTTGTCCTTCCCTACTGGTCTTAGTGGCATTTCAGGAGGGCTGAATGAGGAGATGGGTGATAGAGGTGGAAGTAAACAGGCTATGTGATGCAGAATGGATAGCTCAGCTGATGGTTAGATCGTACATAGAAGCTGTGTACAATCTGATTCAGACTGATACAGTAGCCAGAGAAAGGAAAAGTATCAGAGGTTAGGAACTGTTTTTGATAGGGCCAGAGGCAATAGCTTCATTCTTCCCAATCAGAGCACATTTCTGTTCATCCATTCCTGAATGTTGAACATGCCAATTCAAATTAGAGGAGTGGAAGGATTGATGAGGTAGAGCTAGGTGTTGTCAGCATACACGTGGAGCCGCAAATAGTGTTTAGATGATTTTGATGAGCATTTAAAGAATCTCCCTAAAGTTGAGGACTTACAGTACCTTGGTCGCTCCAGAAAGTAATATTTTTATCGTCTAATCTAGCTGCTCCTGGTTCCCTACAAATAAATTGGAGCAATGATATTCATCAGCTTTTTCTCATAGGCGGCTTCTGAAATAATTGTTAGGCTAATGCTTGGGTGAAAATGCTTTGAAAATGCCCATCTGTCTCTATCTCATTCTTTCGTTATTCACACAATACGAAATTATAGGTTTGAAAAATTGATACTGAGAACACCAGTTAAGATCATGATGCTAGAACAATATCATGAGAGTAGAGATTACTGACTATAACATCCAAAGTTAGCAGCAGTACATCACTCATCAGAACCTGCTCTGAAGGAGAGTCACTGGTCCCGAAAAGTTAACTCTGTTTTCTCTCCACAGATGCTGCCATACCTGCTGAGTTTTTCCAGCAAGTTCTGATTTTATTTGTAATTAATGAATTACCTTCTTATTCCTGTCACGAAATAGATAAAAGACTTCCATTGAAAATTGCCAAATTTAATTGCATATGATCTTTAAGATGACTTTGATTTAACACTTTTAGGTTCTTCAAAAATGGTTGCAAAATTTCACAACAGTAACTTTCAAAAGGGAATTAAATATACGCTTGAAAAGGAATTCCTTGGAGGAACTACTCTGTAATAAAGAGCAACAGAACAGAACTTATCGGGAAAGATGTTTCAAGAACCTTGCGCAGACACTGCGGATCAATTGGTCTTCTCCTGTGCTGTAAGATTCAGTATAACTGGTTCTGTTCTGATCTAGGTACTCTCTTTGTTTTACAGACCACACAGCTAGTTCTGCCACACGGCATCCGGGACGAACTGATGATCATGACCATGAGGACAAAAAGGATGAGAGGAGATCAGATCGAGAAGAGAGGAGGGATGACAGGCTAAGGGAAAGAGAGCGAGAAAGGGATCGTGACAAAGATCGCGATAGAGACAGAGAGCGAGAAAAGGAAAGAGAGTTAGATCGAGAGCGGGAACGGGAAAGAACCCGTGAACGAGATCGAGAGAAAGAGCGAGAGAAAGAACGGGAGCGAGACAGGGGTAAGGAGAGAGAGCGAGAACGGGAAAGGGACAGGGAGAGAGATAGAGAAAGGGACAGAGAGAAGGAGAGAGAGAGGGTTAAAGATAGGGACCGGGAAAAGGAGAAGCAAAAAGACTGGGATGAGAAAGATAAAGGAAGAGATGAACGTAAAGATAAAAAGGATGATCAGCGAGAAGACCGAGATTTGCGGGAAGGTCATGGAGAAAGAAAAACAAGGTATATTCATGCTTAGTACATTCGTAAAATTAATCCATATGTTTTAACAGAACCAATATTCAGTCTTATTGCTTGAACTACATGAGGGCAAATTGACTAATGCATGACTACTGATCGATTTTCACTTTTTACACAAGTTATTTTTCACAAAGTAGCAAAGTAAACCCACTTGCTGCTGCATAGTTTAATAAATCTCTGGCTATCCTGCTTCTTTTCAGTAGGGAAGCAAAAGTTAAAGTACTATTTAATTTCAATAGATATTTTCAGTAACCTAACTATTGCTACATCCCATAAGCCCAAGGCATAATCAGGGTTTTATGTCATACTTAGTATCTTTCCATATTTCTAATTTGGGAATGTACCAAGTATAAACATGAATTTCGTACAGTTTAAATGTGCAAATTTGGCTAAGGCTCAACATCTTGTTCTTACCTAAGCAATCTAGTTTGTTAACTACATTTTCCCATTTCCTTTCTCCGACTTCTCTATGCCATAAACCGCACTCGTCCAAAAAAGGCAATAATTCTGGATGACTTCAATCATCACGTAGATTGGGAAAATCAGATTGGCAGAGGTAGCGATGGGGAAGTATTCATAGAATGTATTCAGGACAGTTTCCTAGAACAAAATGTTGTGGATCCAATCAGATGTGAGACTATTTGGATCTGGCAGTGTGTAATGGGGCAGGTTTAATAAATGACCTCCGAGTTAAAGATCCAGTAGGAAACAGTGACCATAACATGGTAGAATTTAGCACTCAGTTTGACAGTGAGAAACTTGGGTTGGAAACAACTGTACTAAATAAACTGTATTAAATACGGGTAAATTAGTAAGGAATGAGGGCAGAGCTGGCTGGAGTGGACCAGCAAAGGAGTTTAACAGCAAAAACATTTAAGGAAAAGTGGCAGACATTTAAGAAAATAATCATGGCTCACAGCAAAGATATATCCCAGTGAGACAGACTGATTCTAGGTAGTGGATAAGCCAATCATGTTAAACCAGAGAAGTTAACAATAGCATCAAATTGAAAGGAAATATAAACAATGTGGAAAAGATTAATGGCTAACCAGAGGATTGAGAAAGTTTTAAAAATCAAGGAAAGATGACCAAAAAAGGGGAGAAAATAAACGTTGCAGATTATTTTGCAAGTGATATCGAGACTTGTAGCAAAAGTTTCATTAAGTATATAAAAAGGTAAAGAAAAGCCAAAGTGAATGTCGGCCTTTTGGAAATTGAGGCTGAGAAAATAAAAATGGGGAACCAGGGAATGACTGAGGACTTTAGTAATTAATTTCCATCAGTCTTCACAGTAGAATGCACTAGTAGCATTCCAAAATTACTAAATATTCAAGGGCCAAAAGGAGGAAAGGAAACAAACATAGTAACTAGCACTAGAGAAAAAGTACTGAGGGAACTCATGGGGTTAAAGATTGATGAGTCCCTTGATGGCATGTATCCTAGGACGTTAAAAGAAATAGCTATAGTGATAGTAAATATACTGTCGGTAATCTTTTCCAAGAATCCTTAGATTCTGGAAAAGTCCTATAGGATTGAAAAACTATCTCTGTAAAACCTTTATTTAAAAGGGAACGAGGCAGTAAAACAGTGAAGTATAGGCGAATTTGCTTAACATCTATTACTGGAAAAAGGTTTGCGGCTATTATAAAGGATATAATTACAGAACGCTTAGAAATGCATAATATGATTAAGCAGAGTCAGTGTGGCTTAATGAAGGGGAAACCATGCCTGACAAATTTAGTAGATTCATTTGAGTGATAACGGGCAAGGTAGATAAACAGCAAATAGTGGATGCAATTGAATTTTCAGAAGGTGTTTGATAAGGTACCAGATGTTAGGCTCCTTAAGATAAGAGCTGATGGTGTTGGAGATCATATATTGGCACGGATAGAACCAACCCTCTACCCATACTAATATATGACCTAATAGAACAATAAGTAATAGATGACAGAGAATTGGGATAAAGGGGACATTTTCAAGGCAGCAACCTGTAACTAGTGAAGTGCCAAAGTGTTGGGGCCACAATTACCTACGATATATATTAATGACGTGGGTGAGTGGAAAAGTGAATGTACTGTAGACACATTTGTGGTTGACACAAAAGTAAGTGTGGACGACAAGTGAAGAGAATGACAGATGGATCTGCAAACACATATAGACAGGTTGAGCAAATCTTTTGGGGGTTGATTAGTTAGTTGGCTGGATGGCTAGTTTGTGATACCAACAGGGTTTGATTCCTGCACTGCCTGAAGTCACTAAAACGCTCCTGCCTTCTCAACCTCACCCCTTGCCTAAAGTGTGCTGACCTTCAGGCTAAAGTCAGCATCAGTCGTCCCTGCCTCTTATTTGAGAGTAACCCTGTGGTTCCCTGGGACTGTGGTTCCCTGGGACTGTGGTGTCTTTACCTTTCCCTCTCATTCCTCTAAATAACAGTGACTATAGGAACAACCCAAACAGCCTCTCCTCATAAGAAAATCCCTGCATACCTGGAATCAACCTAGTGAACCTTCTCTTGGCTGCCTCCAATGCTAATATATCTTTCTTTAGATAAGGGGACCAAAGCTGTTCACAGTATTCCATCTGTGATGTGACCAGTGCCTTATAAGTTTAGCAAGGCCTCCCCATTTTTATTCTCCATTTCCTTTGAAATAAAGGCCAACTTTCTATTTGCCTTCCCTATTACCTGCTGAACTTGGTTGTAGCATTTTGTGATTAATGCCTGAGGACTCCCAAAATCCCAATGTGCTGTAGCTTTCTGCCGTCCTTCTCTATTTAAATAATATTCAGCTCCTCGTGGTCAGTTCCACTTAGATTAACTTCTTTTCTGGTGCATAATTAATTTTTATGGATCACAGGCATTGTATCAAATCAAAAGTGAATTAGCATTTGGTCAAAAATATTCTATGTGCGTTATGCATTAAAAAACACACTTATTCTATCTCCATTATGTATTAAAACATGCTTATTCTAGCAGTATTATGTATCTCATCTATGATGCTTCAAGCATAATAGGAACAATGTGGTATAAATATGTTCATGTTTTTAATGTGAAATATGTAAATGTGTGACGAAATTTGCACCTGAAATGTAATGTGATGAGCTAATGTATAATGAAATCCATTGTGAAAGGGGTTGGGCTGTCTTATTAGCAATTATGGAAACCCTTAAATGTGGCTTCAGCACTAAGCTTTTGATTACAAAAGTTTTTAAGTTGAGATATTGGGTTGTTTGATTAATGCCAAAAATAAATTATGTGCAGATTGATGCATAGACATGTACATGCGAAACATATTTATGATCAAAAAATTAAACAGAATGTTTAAAAGGTTTATTTTTACAAGAAATATTACTTCATTGTACAACCAAAGTTTAAAAAAGAACCCAGGTTCATATAATTAAAATGGGAAAGGCTTTATTATGTAATTTTTTCACATTAATTTCTTTCCTGTAAACCTCATGCACCACATACTGTGATACTGACTGAAGATCAGCAACTCACTGTTTTATATGCAAGTTGGTTGATGTTGACCAAAGAGCATTGAAAATACTGCTGTGGGCCTGAACACCCTCAGGCTATAAGAATGAGGAAACAAAACCAGCCTATTTTTCTGCTCTTTAATGCTTGCTGGCGATCTGTATTGGAGATGTATGTCTGTAGACCAGCGCACAATGACCCGGACAGTGACTTTGTGCTTTGCTGCCAGAGTGAACTGTCTGTATTCTGTACTGAATGGTAACATCCTAGTGGTTGCTATGTCGCCATACACCAGCAATGAGTTATACTTCGAGAACTTTTCAATGCAACTTTGGCGGAGATGAGATAAATAGAAAATGCAGTCTAGACTTACAGTTTAAGACATTTAATATGTGTACAACTTTTGTGGAATAATATAAACAGCAATAATTTTCTGTGGTTAGGGCCTTAACTGGGAGTTGAGATCCACTTCTGACACCTGAGCCACTTCTGCGCTAGTATATACTAAAGGCTGTTTCCCATTGATTTGAAAGTGGCTGTATAACTGAATCTTACAGTTGCTGTGCATCCAGTGTGTCCATCGTGCTGAATTTATATTACTTTTTTTCCCAGGAAACGACCTCGAACAGAAAGCAGCCTCAGTCCGTTGGCAAAGCGTGTCCGTGAAGAATCTCCGGATAGTGACACTTACAACAGTAGTGATGAAAAAAGTAAGTCTATTGGGTGTTCATTTAATAAACTCAGCTTTTTCTATTCATTGAATGATGTTCCGTAAAGTGCTGTGTTCTGTGAAGAGCTTTAATCACTGCAACCTCTTCAGATACGAAATGGCAGGAAGTTTTGTAAAATTTATGGGGAATTGTTTTTTATGAGGAATTTGACACATCCTTATTCATATACTATATTGTCTACTCGCACATATAAGTGAGAACAATTTGCTCAAGGGGTTCTCATTAATACTAGCAACGAGACCTTAAGATATGGGAGCAGAATTAGGCCATTCGTCCCATCCAGTCTGCTCCAGCATTCAATCATGGCTGATATGTTTGGCAACCCCATTCTCTCGCCTTCACCCTGTAACCCTTGATCTCCTTACTAAGCAAGAACCTGTCTATCTCTGCTTTAAAGACACTCAATGACTTGGCCTCCGCAGCCTTCTGCGGTAATGAGTTCCACAGATTTACCACCCACTCGCTGAAGAAATTCCTCCTCATCTCAGTTCTAAAGGTTCACTCCTTCACTCAAAGACTAGGACTTCAGATCCTAATCTCTCCTATAAGTTAGAAACGTCTTCTCTACATTCACTCTATCCAGGCCTTTCACTATTCTGTAAGTTTCAATCAGATACCCCCTCGTCCTTCTAAACTCCATCAAGTACAAACTCAGAGTCCTTAACTGCTCCTCGTATGATAAGCCCTTCATCTGCAGGATCATTCTTGCAAACCTCCTCCGATGCCAACACATCCTTCCTTAGATACAGGGCCCAAAATTGCTTGCAATATTCCAAACTATCTGATCAGAGCCTTCTACAGCCTCAGGAGTACATCTTTGCTCTCTTGTGTTCTAGCCCTCTTGAAATAAATGCTAACATTGCATTTTCCTTCCTAACTGCCAACTGAACATGTATGTAACCTTAAGAGAATCCTGAAGTGAGACTCCTAGTTGCTTTGTGCTTCAGATTTCTGAAACCTTTCCCCATTTAGAAAATAGTCGATGCCTCTGATTTTGCTGCCAAAGTGCGTAACTTCACACTTTCCTACTCGTATTCCACCCGCCACTTCTTTGCCCACTCTTCTAGCCTAATTGCAGCCTAACTACTTCCTCAACACTACCAGTCCCTCTCCCTGTATTTGTGTCATCTACCAACTTGTTAACATGGCCCACAGTTCCTTTGTCCAGATCATGAATGTGGAATGTGAATAGTTATGGTCCCTACTGACCCCTGTGGAACTTAGCTTTTCACCAGCTGCAGTTCCTGGAAAATGTCCCCTTTATCCCTACTGTCTGCCTTCTGCCAGTCAGCCAATCCTCTATCTGTGCCAGTACCTTGTCCCTAACACCATGGGCTCTAATCTTATTTAGCAGCTTTCTGTGCTGCACCTTGTTAAAGATCTTCTGGAAATTCAAATAGATTGATGAGGGCACAGCAGTAGATATTGTTTACTTTAGTAAAGCTCCAACAAGGTTCCGCATGGTAGACTAATTAGTAAAGTTAGGTCACACTGGATTCAGGGTGAGCTTGCCAATTGGATATAAAATTGACTTAACGACAGGAGACGGAGAGTGGTGGTGGAGGTTTGCTTTTCGGACTGAAGGCCTGTGACCAGCGGTGTTCCACCACACAGCTATCGGTTCTGGGTCCTCTTTTGTTTGTCATTTATATAAATGATTTGGATGAGAATATAGAAGGCATGGTTAGTAAGTTTGCGGATGACACCAAAATTGGTGGCATTGTAGACAGTAAAGGTTTTCTAAGATGACAAAGGGATCTTGATCAAATGGGTCAATGGGCTGAAAAATGGCAGATGAAGTTCAATCTGGATAAGTGTGAGGTATTGTGTTTTGATACAACAAACAAGGGTAGGGCTTATACAATTAATGGTAAGGCCTTGGGTAGTGTTGTAAAACAGAGAAATCTACATAATTCTTTGAAGTTTATGTTTCATATAGACACTGTGGTGAAAAAGGCATTTGGCACGCTTGTCTTCATTGCTGAGTCCTTTTGAGTATAGGAGTTGGGACATTTTGATGAGGTTGTACAGGTGAGGTCTCTTGGGAACACTGTCCAGTTCTGGTCGCCCAGCTATAGGAAGGATATTATTAAACTGGAGAGGGGTCAGAAGAGATTTACCATGATGTGGCTGGGTGTGAAAGGTTTGAGTTATAAAGAAAGGCTGGATAGGCTGGGATTTTTTTCACTGGAGTGTAGGAGATTGAGAGACAACCTGATAGAAGTGTATAAAATAACGACGGGTATAGATAGAGTTAATGTTATTGCCTTTTCCTAGCATGTGGGATTTCAATACTAGGGGGCACATTTTTGAGAAGAGAGATTTAAAAAAAAGACATGAGGGGCAAATATTTTACACAGAGAGTGGTTCGAGTATGGAATGAACTTCTTGAGGAAGTGGTGGAGGCGGGTACAACGTTGAAAAGACTTTTGAATAAGTACATGAATAGGACATGTTTGGAGGGATATGGGTCAGGAGCAAGCAGGTGGGACTAATTTAGTTTGGGATTATGTTCGGCTTGGACTGAAGGGATTGTTTCTGTGCTGTGTGATTTTTATGTCTACTGACTCTCCTTTATCTAACTTCCTCGTTACCTCCTCAAAGAGTCAGATTTGTGAGGCGTGATCTCCACTTGACGAAGCTGTACTGACTCAACCCTGTTTTATCATGCAGTCCCAAGTACTCCGCAATCTCACCCTTAATGATCTAAAATCTTAGCAATGACCAAGGTCAGACCAACCAGCCTATACTTTCCTGTCTTCTGCCTCCCTCCATCTTAAACTGGGGTGATACATTAGTCATTTTTCAGTCCTCTGGGACCCTCCCTGACTCTAGTGATTCCTGAAAGATCACCTCTGGTTGCAAGGTCAGGAATAGCCATGGGTAACCTGATGCTTCACTCTTGTTTTTCCTGTTCTGAGCTTTTTTTCTATTGCTCTGCACAGCAACCTACAACTAGAATGGGATGAAGACATGCTGCAGCAATACAATAATGACAGTTCCATTCTGAGTGTGATGCCTTCTAAACATATGTAATCCACACATGTTATTTCTCCCACCTGATTAGGACCAGTTTGTGCTTTGCAGGATCATATGCAGTGCACAGCACTAAAGTCATGCCTCTGAACCTACTCCATAAGCATCGTCTTCAGGTTAGGTTGCAGTTGGCTTTTATCACGGTCAGTAACAGCAGGGATGTTTGCCTGCATGCTCTATCTGCTGCCCTGACCAACAGATGGAGATTTTAATTCCTGTGATTTTAGGAGTATGGAGAGCTGTTTCATGGTGAATCAGTGGTAGAATAAGCAGTGCCAGGAGTAAAAACGGTAAGCTGTCATTTGACATGTTGCTGTGAAATTAATTGGCCATATGGCAGTGTTGCTGAATTTGTCCACTGCATCGTATCTGGGTGCCTGTTGGGGAGGATCAATTTAGAAATGTTTTGAATGATTTAGTCACACAGATTTTTTTCAGAATGAACAGCTTGTATTAATCATAATAATTTCTTTTAAGTTTAAAATTGCATTATTTAATTGTAACTAATCGATCTGTGTGGTTTTGTTTATGAGGCAGAGCTTTAGTATTCACAATCTAGAAAAAGGGAAGTGTTCCCTACTGTACAGATTTATAACCAATGCGTAGTTGCACCATTCAGATTAACTTTACAAGGGATGCTATAGAGCTGTCCCCTGGTATTTAATCCTGCTTCACACAATTTGGACAGAATCAATGCACAATTTGCCACACATTCCATCAAGAAGTTATCTTGGAACCAACAGACATTCTCAAACCTCAAAATTTCATCCTAAAACTTAAATCCAGCCTGATTGATGTTGAAATCAATAAATGCCAGTGTAAAGTCTTGACTTTGCTCCCTGTGATTCTGAGTTTGATGAGATCTGTGATTGTTTAGTTAGTCTTGAAGCTACATTATAATTCCAAAAACCTCCTTTCCTCCTCATTCAGGAATAGGCAGTCAAGATGAATCCAAATTAATTTTCTGAACTGGATCAAATTAAGATGCCCAAACCATACCGCAGCCTGACTTCTTTGTTCTTACATGTCATAACATTTGCATTGTTTGGATTCTGTACACTCACCATCTCTCCTCAGATTGCATTGAACTATATAATAACAGTGCCAAAGTAAGTCACTTGACCCATATGGCCCGTGCCTGAATTTATGTTCCATGTTAGACACCTCCCAGCCTTTTAATCTTAGGGAGATTCTGGTGTTATGGTATAGTCACTGCACCCGCAATCCAAAGGCCCAGATTAATAATATTGGGAATAAAGGCTAAAATACAACTATGGCTGATGGATATTAAATTTGACTGATAAAATCTGGAGCTAAAAGCGAGTAACAGTGTCCTGAAATTATCCGTGATTGTTGTTTTTTAAAAAAAAGTCATCTGGCTCAATAGTGTTCTTTGATTAAAGGAATCTTCTGTCCTCACCTGGTCTGGCCTACATTACTGCAGATCCACAGCAATGTCATTGACTCTTAATGAACCTCCAATGGCCCCTAATGAACAGAAACTACTCAGTTCAAGGGCCATTAGGGATGGGCAACAAATACTGGCTTTGCCAGCAATGTCCACATCCCATGAAAGAATTTTAAAAAAAACTCATATTTGTTTCTCCCTTGTTCCTTATCTAGCTTTCTACAAAAGGCATCTATGACTGTCTTCTCAACTGTCCACATTTCAGCAAGTTCTCCTTTCTGAGCCATTCTTTAAAGTTCTTCTTGATTCCATTCTAGTTCTCCGAGATTCTTTGTTTAATTCAGCAGTGGGTGAGCAGAACAGCTTGTGCAAGCCCTGAGTAAGAGTCTCTGAGAAACATAGAAAGTAGGAGCAGGAGTAGGCCTTTAGGCCCTTTGACCTTGCTCCAGCATTCATTGGGGAATAGCGGAATGTGGGTCAGAAAATTTCAGACACATAGTGACTTTTTTTTTATTTTTTAGTCCACCTGTTCAGAGTTGTAATTACATTCTAATGGAGATGGTGGGTCTTGAACTCTGGCTTCCTGGCTCAGACGAAGGGGCCCTGCCACTGCACTTCAAGAACCATGGTCCCTGGTTAATAGTCTGTTTAAATTAACTAGGCAGTTTGCCAAAGTTTTCTGTAGAATGTTCCCTATGAATTCTGCTGTACAACTGGCAATGTCTGACTATTATGCCAGTGTTAAACCTTGTAAAGCTCTGCTTTCAGGTGCACATAAATGCTTTTTAAAATTACTTTTTTTAAAACTGAGACTATAAATCGTGTTTTCCTTTCTGTGAAGTATTTCCAAATGATTGTTTTGGACCTGTGAGGCAAGTAGCGTGTTGATCATGAAGGTAAAATTAACCTGTATCCAGGCAGAAGTAGGCAATTCTGTAGAATTGATTTGTAAACGTTTCTGAGTGAACTTGCTATTTTTTGTTTGTTTCAGGTGAGAAGCACCGGTTGTTGAGTCAGGTTGTGCGCCCACAGGATTTCCGGGCCCTCAGTCCGTCCCGTGCAGTCGAAGACAGAACAAGCAGCTGGAAAGAGGATGACAGGAAGTCAGACAAAAAGGAAAGCGCAAGGCGGCGGGAAGACCATTCCGTGAGAGAACGGGTTTCTTCAGGCGACAAGCAAAGGGAGCATGTTGCAGATACTGTCGAGAGCTCACGAGGCAGAGAGTCAGACAGCACTGCTCACCATGCTGCTGAGGATAGAGAGGTACTTCTCGGACTACACGAATATGGTAAGAAAAAGACTAAAGGGCCACGGAAATTTCAGAAGAGAAACAGGAGGGATGAAGATTATCTATCTGACAAATATGTTCCGGAGCCTGTGGTGGAGGAACCTTTAGTTTTGTCACCTAGGAAACCTCCGAAGAAGAAAAACACCGATAAGAAGCGAAAGCGCTCAAAAGGTGATTCAGAGCCTTCCGATGAGGAAGTGGTTTCACAGGCCAAAAAGTGGAAGGGGCCCAGGACTCCACCTGTAACGCTAAAGGAAGAATCTGTAGAAGAAGTGTCTGAAAAGAGTGTTGAAGGAAATGCACATGGAGCAGGGGATGTGGTCTTCAGCGACTGGTCAGATGAAGACGTGCCAGACCGCGATGAAAGTATCATTTCTGACAAGAGCATTGATGAAACTCGAAGGAAAAGTCATAGAAGTAAGGTGGAGAAAGTGGAGCTCCCTGCCGTGGCAGACGACCGTACGCGTAAAACCGATGAGCACAAACGAAGCAGCAGCCTTGGCAGTAACCGCAGCCGGACTTCAAGTCGTTTACGATCACCGTCCAATGAATCCACCCACCGCAGTGGAGATGACCAGAGTGGCGGAAGGAGATTGCAGCACGGAACATCGAGAGATGGGCAGAAGTATAGAAGTATCAAGTCTAGTGAGCGGAAATCCCGAATAGATCAGCTCAGACGTGGGGAGCCCAGCCGCAGCACCTCTTCAGGTAGAGTGGTTTCAACCTTCTCTGATTGTATTCGCATGACAAACGTTGAAACATACTAGGTATATAGACTGGCACCTTTTTACATTAAATAATCAAAACAGTGTACGAAAAATTTGCAAGCTACCAGCAGCAAATACAAATAGTGTTGCCATTAATGGGATAATGATTTACTTTAGCTAGGACCCTGGTTAAATTTGTACGATGAATGACTGTACTTGATACTTGATCATTCCTGAGAATACAGGAAAGGATTGATTCCATTATTATGACAGGTATTAATGTTTATTCAACATGATCTTAATCCTCTTCAGCAGGAATTTCCCTTATCAAGGACATTTGCAATATCAATACTTGCCAAAATCTTGTGTGTGCAAATCCCTGGACACAATTGCACATGTATAACCAATTCTTTCCTCTTGATCCAACCCAGCAATTTCATGAAAATTATTGTCAATATATGTAATTTATGTTGTGCTTGTCTTCATTCCCAGTCTCCAGGACATTGAAGTAAGCTTAATTTCAAATGTTTAGATGTTCTCTTCTTATCCACCAAAGTGGAGGTCTGCTGTTCTCTGTATATTATTGCAGGTGGAATTAAAATGAAATCGGTGATCCTTGTAGGTATTCTCTGTCTCCTATCCAGTGGCTCTGCACCCTTTTTGCACTTTGGTAACCAGAATTGCAAGTAGTACTCTTAAGTGAGGCCAAACCAAGGTTTGATAGAGATTTAGCCTAATTCCTCACTTATCAGTTGTATCCCACCAGAAACGAAATCCTCTTTTTTTTGATGATCTAGCTAACCTGTAACTTTCAGCAATTGAAGCATTTGTTCTCTGAGATCTCTCTTATTCTTGCACCCCACTTGTCAGATATTGAATCTCCACTATTCTTTCTTCTAAAATGTCATACCTTGCATTTTTTTTTGAGTTGAACTTCATTTGCCAATTATGTTTCCGCTCTCCAAGTTTATTAGTGCATTCCTGTAATTTGTTGCTGAGGTCCTCAGTATAGACAATTCCACCATCCCATCTCCCTCCAATTTGGTGCAATGTGCAAATTTAGACAGTGTTTCTAACTGCCAAATCCAAATTGTTCATGTAAATTGTGAACACCTGTGGTTGCAAATGGAATGCCAAGTCTCAATTTGCTGTCCTGAAAAACTATCCTTTCCTCCCATTCTCTGATTTCTGTCTTGAAGCCAGTCAAAATTCAGACAAATTGCATTGAATGCATTGTCATTGTCTACTTTGTCTTTTACCTGTTCAAAAAAATCAATCAAAAATTTCAGTTAAGTGAAATTTTTCCTTTGACATCCATGCTGTCTATTAATTATTATGGAGTCATACAGTGCGGAAACAGACCCTTTGGTCCAACTCATCCATGCCAACCAAGTTTCCCAAACTAACCTCGTCCTACTTGCCTGCGTTTGGCCCGTATCCCTCTAAACCTTTCCTGTTCATGTACCTGTACAAATTTCTTTTAAATGTTGCAACTGTATCTGCATCTACCACTTCCTCTGGCAGTTCATTCCACACATGAACCACCCTCTTGTGTGAAAACATTGTCCCTCTGGTCCTTTTAAATCTTTCTCCTCTTACCTTAAAAATATGCCCCCTAATTTGTGACTCACCTTGTTTTTCTCATTTCTGGATGTTCTTCTAATCATTTCAGTAGGATGAATAACAATTCCATTACTTTTCCTGCTGATGATGCTCAGTTGACTGCTCTATAATGCTGCACACATTTTAATTCCCATCCCTATTAAATATAGGCATTACATTAGCTATTTACTTGTCTTCTGGTACTGCACTTTCTTTATTGCATTCACTTCCCTAAATTCTTGTGAAATACATGGATGCAATCAAATTGAACTAGAGGTGCCAAAAGCAACTATTTCTTCATTCTTTAAAAAAAGTGATAATTCTGCAGTCTTTGTTTTATTTATCAATTGAGATCCCTTACACTGATTCGAATGAACTGATTTACCAACAGAAATGAAGAGCCATTTTTAATCAATCTTTGGCTGTTTTTGACATTGGCTGTTTGGGAATTATAAACTTCTGCTTTGTTTCCAGAGCTGCTTGTATCTTTAACAGACAATGGTTTTTAAAAAAAAAAAAAAAAAAATTCTTCATTGAAATGCTGACTTTTTTTTTTAAAATGACTTAATTTTGAGAATTTCCTTCCTCATCAACATTATATATGTTTGTGCTAAGAGATGAAACGATTTCCATTTCACACATTAAACATTCCCAGATCGGAAGATAGTTGGTTTCTTCTGCGGTATGTCTTTACTGAAACTGCAGAAGAAAAACGTAAAGTGGACTTGCATTAATACAGTGTCTTTCATGACCTGCTGCTTCAAAGAACCTTCTGTAGCCAATTAAGTATTGTTAAGTATAGTGTCTGTTGTAATGCGGGAAAACATGCGGTCCATTTGAACGCAGCAAGATGGCATAAATACAATGTGATAATAATCACTTAATTGTTTCAGTGAAGTTGGTTGAAGGTTAAAGTTTGCCAGGACATGAGATAATTATCTACTTATTCAAAATAATGCTGTGGGATTTTTGATTGCACTGTCTTATGAGACCAGATGGTGCCTTTGTTTAACCTTCTAATTCAAAAGGCGTCCCTTACTGTAGCAGTTGACATTTTTTGATTTCCTGTGCCTGCCTTCTATGAATGAGACTAGTAATTTAGTTCCTCTTATCCTGAATTAGAGTTGCTCAAATGAAAAATAGAAAAAATTAATATGACGCAGCAGGGGGCATAGTTCTGGAATTAAGGATATAACCTAGTGCATAGCAGCTTTAACAGTTTATCAGGCCCATATTTTTCTAGCTATTAAGACACTGCTTTCTAATACTAGAGAGATTATCCTGAAATAATATTATTACTGGAATATTGTTGACTCACCTAGAAAGTTGCCTTTTTTAAAATTTGTGGTGTTCTTAGATGCCAAAGGATTGCATGCCAACGGTAGACAATAAAGGTATGGCAAAAATCCATCCCTGCTCCTTAATATAATAGTGCAAAAACATTTATGGTATATATTGTGATGCACTTGTTAAATTAAAAGGACTTTGTAACACAGCAAGTGCATTTTGAAATTGAAAACGCTTTCGATCAAGCGTATCATTTGTTTTCCGAATTTCCTTATGATTTAAAAACTCAGTTTTTATTTGAGATCCCAGCTTGTCTGATGAATTGACTGCCAAATCTACTACTTGTGTCAGCATGACTGCAAATGTTGATTGAGGAAAGACACTGCATGGTGCCGTCATGTAACTGGTCAATTTAGCTGGTGCCATCCCCTTGATAAATTGTACATTTTCTATTTCAAGGGGAGAAAACTTCCAGAAATTTGCTGTCATTTAAATGAGTAATGGATCTTAATGCGTTTTATAGATCGTCAAGATTCGAGGAGTCACAGTTCTAGACGAAGCTCCCCTGAATCTGATCGACAAGCTCGCTCCCGGGCTGGATCCTTTGAGAGTAGAGAAAAGCTTCAAGAGGGTGAACTTGATCGAGATCGTGAAAGACGAGAGAGAAGGGAATGGGAACGGGATGGGGAACACCGAGACTGGGTTAAAACCAGGGACAGAAATAGAGACCGGCGAAGAGAGGTCAACAAAGAGCGGGAGAAGCCACCAGCAGAAGTGCCTGATAAAGACAAGGAGCGAACTCTGGAAGCTGCTTCCACATTGGAACAGCCCCGAGTAGAGCTAAGACCAGGAAGAGAATCTGAAAAACAATTTGAGCAAGTTGAAACTGCAACTGTGTTAAACAATGAAAGGGATGTAAATGACCTGGTGAAAGAACCAGAGAACGATGAGAACCAAGCCGATGAACCCGTTGATGCCGTTGAAGGTAGTATTTCATTATAGAACAGAGAATATTTGCATAAAATTCTGATCTGAATCAAGCATGAATCAATGATACATGTTTACATAAGTGAGAAAATTATTTAGCTTCTTGTCCATGCTCCTCCTTGTGATTAGTTATAGAGTGACATTGCAGGGCTTTTATAGGGTAAATGGTACAAAACTGTTCCACTGGCCCAAAGGTTCAGCAACTACCAGACACAGCTTTAAGGTAATTGGCACAAGAATCAGAGGAGAGATGAGAGGTTTTTTTTTTGGTAAGGTGGTGAGTTATTAGGAAATGGAATGTAATACCAGAAAGGATCCGGATACATGAATAACTTTCAAAGTGGGAGTAATAAACACATGGAAAAGCAGGAGTGGCAGGGCATTATAATATGGGTTATAATGACTCCGTTGCCCAACAAAAATCCATGTATCTCAATCTTAAAAATATCTAATGACACTGCCCCCATCACCTTCTGAGGTAGAGAGTCCAAAGCCACATGCTTTTGAGAGAAAAAAAAATCCCCTTTCTGAAAGGGGGAACCCTTAATTTAAAAGAAAACTTTCCTATTTTGAACCTACCAATGATGGTAAACATGCTTCAATTGATTTTTTAGATAATTCTGTGCCGCTTTTTGAATTCTGACCAGTCATCTGATCTGCACTAATGTTTGTGCAATTTTATGTCTTTCCTTAGGTTTTAGGCTCTCCTTAACAACTTTAGTTAGCTACAAATGATGGTCCTCCCCTTGGAATTTTATAGTAAGAATGTAGTTATTCTGAACGTCCTGGAATAGCTGTTTAAATGTCTGCCACTTCTCTACTGATCTGTCTCCTAGCCTACTATCCCAGATCACTTCAGTTAGCTCAACTTTCATGTCCACATAGTTACCCCTTTTTAAATTTTAAATGCTAGTCTCAGACCCACATTTCTCCCTTTCAAACCAGATGTTGAATTCAATCGTATTATGAGCTCCGAACCTTAGCGATGCCTTTATTCTGAGATCATGAATTAATCCTACCATATTATGCAATACTAAATCTAATGTAACCTGCTGCTCTAAGAAACTATCTCAAAAGCATGCTATGAACCCTTCGTTGATGCTACTATTACCAATCTGATTTTTTTCAGTTTAAATGCATTTTAAAATCATCCATGATTATTGCCTTGAAAAGAGACTGAATAATTCCCAACTCCACCCATCTTTGCCTGGCTAAGATGGTTCTCACTTTAAACAGCTTTTCTTTTATCTCTTCACACTTTCTTCAAGTCAAACAAATGGCTTTGGGTGCCCACGTTGGTCCCATTTATGCCCCTCTCTTTCTGGGATGTGTGGAACATTCGTTGTTCCAGTTCTACTCTGGCCCACACCCCCTGCAATTCTTTCTCCAGTATCCCAAATGTGTCATTGGTGCTGCTTCGTGCTGTTGTCCAGAATTGGAAAAGTTGATCAGTTTAGATTCCAATATCCATCCTTCACTCACTTTCACCTCATCTGGCTCTGACTCCCCTTTTCCCTTCCCTGACCTCACTGTTTTCATTTCTGGGGATAAGCTGTCCATTGTTGTCCACTTCAAACCCACCAACACCCAGTTATCTCAATTGCATTTAAGAACATAAGGTAAAGGAGCTGAAGTAGACCTTTCGCTAATCTGATAATCCTCATGTCCACTTTCCTGCCCTTTTGGCCATATCCCTTGACTCTCTTACTGATTAAAAACCTGTGTATTTCAAGTCTTGCATGTACTTAACAGCCCAGCCTCGACAGCCCTTTGCAGTAAATAATTCCACACATTCACTGTACTTTACGAGAAGGAATGACTCTTGATCTCTGTCTTAAATGGGCAGCCTCTTAAACTGAGGTTATTCCCTCTGACCCTAGACTCTCCCACAAGGGGAAACAACTTCTCCACCTCTGCCATGTCAAATCCATTAAGAATCTTTATTTTTCAATAATGTTGCCTGCCATTCTTCTAAACGCCAATGAGTAAAGGTCAACCTACTCTTACCTCTCTTCATAAGACAATGCCTACGTACCCAGGATCAACCCAGTGAACCTTCTCTGGACTGCTTAAATAAGAGGACCAAAACTGTCCACAGTATTCGAGGTTTGGTGTAACTAGTGCCTAGTATAGTTTTACCAAAGCTTCCCAATTTCTATACTCCATTTGAAAGAAAGGCCAACATTCCATTTGTCTTCCTAATTACCTGCTGAACTTGTGTGCTTGCTTTATGTGATTCAAGGAAAAGGACTCCCAAATTCCTCTGTGCTGTAGCTTCCTTCAGTCTTTAAACCAGTTAAGTAATATTCAGCTCCTCTATCCTTCCTGCCAGAGTGGACCACCTTTCAACTTCCCACACTATATTCCATCTGCCAAGTTCTTGCCCACTCACTTAACCTGTATAAGTCCTTCTACGAAACCTCTGTGTCATTCCAACCACTTACCTTCCTACCTATTTCTGTGTCAATTGCAAACTTGCCATAGTACATTCACTTTGCTCATCCAAGTCATTCCAGGGAAATGGATTTGATGTCATAATTGGGAGTGGTACCTGAATTTTATTCTTAATTTATTCACGCCATATGAGCTTTGCTGGTAGATCAACATTTATTGCCCATCCCTAGTTTCTTTTGAGATTGTGGTAATGAGCTACCTTGAACTGCTGCAGTCCATTTGATATATGATGCCATGAGGCAGGGAGTTACAGGATTTTGACCCAGTGGGACTGAAGGAATGACAATATATTTCCAAGCCAAGATGTTGAGAGACTTGGAGGGGATCTTATACATATTGTTTGTGCCCATGTATCTATTACCCTTGCCTTTCTAGATGGTAGTAGTCCTAGGTTTGGAAGGTGCTGCGTAAGAGCCTTGGTGAATTTCTGCAGTGAATCTTGTAGATGGTACACACTGCTGCTGCTCAACATTGGTGGTGGAGGGAGCTAATATTTGTGGATGTGATGACAAGAGAGCTCTTTGTCTTGGATAGTGGCAAGCTTCTTCTGTATTGTTGGAGCTACAGTTATCCAAGTGGACAGAATTCCATCACATTCCTGAATTGCCTTATAGATGGTTAACAGACTTTGGGGAGTCAACAGATGAGTTACTCACTGCAGGACTCCTACCCTCTGGCTGGCTCTTGTAACCACAGTACCTATAGCAGTTTTGGTCAATGGTAACCTATCTGGATATTGATAGTGGAAGATTCAGCGACAGTAATACATCGAATGTCAAGGTTTGATAATTAGATTCTCTCTTGTTGGAGATGATCATAACCTGGTACTTGTGTGGTGCACTTTTCATCCCACACTTGGATATTGTCCAGTTCTTTTTGCATTTGGACATGGACTACTTCAGTACTGAAGGAGTTGTGAATGGTACTAAGCATGAAGGTGTTGAGCCTTGAACACTACCATGAGGAAAGTCTTGGAACTTAGACGACTGACCTCCAATAATGATGACCATCTTCCTTTTTGCTAGGTTTAACTCTGACAGGCAGAGAATTTTCCCCTTTGATTCCTTTTGACTCCAGTTTTTCTCAGGGTTCTTGATGCCAAATTCAGCCAAACGTAGCCTCAACGTCCAAGGCAATCACTCTCACTTCACTTCTGAACTTCAGCTCCTTTGTCCATGTTTGAACTAAGCTGTAATGAGTGGCCCTGGCAAACCCAAACTGGGCGTCACTGAGCTCGTTATTGCTGAGGAGATGCTGCTTGATAGCAATGTTGATGATACCTTCCATCGCTTTACTGGTTATCAACAGTAGACTGATGGGGCAGTTAGTAACCAGGTTGGATTTGCACTGCATTTTGTGTACAGGACATACCTGGGCAATTTTCCACATCGCCCAGTAGATGCCAGTGCTGTAACTGTACTGGAACTGCTTGGCTAGGGAAGCAACAAGTTCTGGACACAAGTCTTTAGTACTATCGCCGGAATGTTGTCAGGGCCCGTAGCCTTTGCAGTATTCCAGTGCCTCCAGCTGTTTCTTGATATCCTGTGGAGTGAATTAAATTGGCTGAAGACTGACATCGGTGAAGCTGGGAACTTTAGGAGGAGGCCGAGATGGATCAGCACTTCTGGCTGAAGTGTGTCTCAAATGTTTCAGTCTTATCTTTGCCGGGCTCCCCCATTGTTGTGGATAGTGATATTTGTCGAGCCTCTTTCTCCAGTGAGTTGTTTGATGAGTTGTCCAACACCTTTCTCAACTGGATACGCCTAAACTGTAGACCTTATATCTGATCCGTTAGTTGTGGCATCACTTAGCTGTCTGCCACTTCCACCTTATGTTGTTTGGCACATGTTTTGTAGCTCACCAGGTTTCGCCTCATTTTTAGGTATGCCTGTTGTCGCTCCAGGCATGCACTCTAAATTAAACAGGGGTTAATCGCTTGGCTTGATGATAATATAAGTGAGGGAGTCACTGGGCTATGATTGAGTTGGATTAGAATCCTGCTGCTGCTGTTGGTCCACAGCACTTTGGGGATGCCCAGTTTTGAGTTGTTAGCTCTGTTCAAAGCCTATCCCAGTTATCACAGCGATTATTGCACACATTACGATAGTTGGTCTCCTCAGTGTGAAGACAAGGCTTCATCTCCACAAAGACTGCACAGTAGTCACTCTTACCGATACCACCATGGTGAAATATATCTGCACCAGTATGAAGTCAAGTTTGTTTTCTCATCTTTGTTGGTTCTTTCACCACAAGTCACAGACCCAGTCTAGCAGCTGTGTCCTTTAGGACTTGACTGGTTTGATCAGTAGTGATATTACAAAATGACTCTTGGTGATGGATTGCCATCTGTTTTGACCTAAGGATGGGATCTGTAGGTATGCATGTATCTGGCTGCGGTTTCTCCAATCAGCGGCTGTCAGGCAGGTTCGAAACTTAGAGAAAAAATCGGAGTTAACGTTTCAGGTCTGGTGATCCTTCATCTGATTTTTTTCTTCACAGATGCTGCCAGACCTGCTGAACTTTTCCAGCAACTTCTGTTTTTGTTCCCGACTTACAGCGTCTGCAGTTCTTTCGGTTTTTATTTAGGTTTGAAACTTACTTGACTTGATTCTCCTGTGTGTCGCTACATGTGCTGGTGATGATGTTATAGCTGTAAAATGATTACCGTCTCTCCTGTTATCTGGCAGTATTGGTCACATACCATTGCTTGCTTCAGTGAATGTGCTGGATTATGTCTCTGTGTATCTTTGCACATGCAAAGTTGCCATCCCAAGGGGGTTGGCGTACTTTGCTTGGGAATTTGAGAGAATGTTACAGGCCTTGTAAGTGTTGTTACAAGGTCATGACCTGACCACAAAAAGGAACTTGCTCAGTGTTTCTTGGGAGTACCCCACGATGCATTGTAATGGAAATTGGCTGAAGTTTTGTCTAGTCCATGATTCAGTTGACAATTGATCCCTTTATCTTTTAGTGCCATAGGGAATAAAACAGCCCACATAATTGACACCCTACCCACCACAAGCATTCACTCCATGCAACATTGGGGCACCTTGGCTGCACTGTGTACCATCTACAATTTGTATTGTGGTAACTCGTCGAGGTTTCTTTATCACTTTCCAATCCCTCAGTTCTTTTTGTCAGGAAGGAAAAGGACAGCAATTGCACCACAACCTGAATATTCCCCTCTAAGTATTCTATCAGGCTAAATTATAAATAAATCACTGCTCCTTCATTATTGTGGTCAATATCATGGTGCTCCCTACCTAACAGAACTGTGTACACTGGTCCACATGGTTCAAGAAGGCAGTTCACCACCACCTTTTTAAGGTCTCTTAAGGATGGATAATAAATACATGCGAGCATGCAATCCCCATATCCCATGCATAAGATTTTTTAGTTAAAAAGCACAATTGGTGTTGCCTTAGTGTTGCCTTCACAGCAGCACTTGAGTTGCAATCAAACTCCAAAGGCAAATGTCACTATGATTCCAGAGGGTGCTCAGAGACACTTAAATGCACTTTGCCTTTTGAGGTATAGTCCGATAGGTTGTCAAACCAGATGAACAGTGCTGAAATGATCCATCGATGCTCTTAGGCTTTTAATAATTTAAATGGATGGAAAATGTGGGCGTTAGTATTCACTTTCTGGAATGTAACAAAGGAGAGAGTTACGGCACATATATTAAGGCCGTGTTCATACATGTCTGTTAGATCTAGCAGTCACTGTGCAAGTACTACCAGTTGCAATTGGACCTTGTATCAACCTGAGATAAGTAGTTTTATTAACGTTGTACCTAAGAAGTAATGGATACCACCAAAATTGTCTGTTACATATAAATTCTTTGAGAACAGGGTAAAAGAGTGTGTGTCTGATGTTCTTCTGTTCATTCATCACTCAGCCACCAGCATGCTTTTTTCTTTGCCTTTAGGTGAGCATGATGGGAAAGTTGATGATGCGCAGTACTCGGTGTCAGGGTCTTGTGAGGAATATGAGCCAATTAGTGATGATGAGTTGGATGAAATACTGGCAGATGATGCAGAAAAAAGAGAAGAGAACCAGGACGAAGAAAAAATACCAGGTACCCCTTTAAAAAGCTGCACAATGTTTTTGTACAGTAGGATATGTAATGTGCATTGTCTAATTTTGAAGTGATTAATCTTTTTTAAATAGTTAAGAAATAAAGATGTGTTTGCAAAATCTAAATTAAATATAGGTCTTCTAATTGTGGAGATGCAAACCACAATATTCCCCGTAACCAAAGAAGCGCACAGGGAATCATTCGAGGATTCCTTTATTTTGTCATGAGCAGTCATGGCTTACAAGGGCAAGCAAAGGATATTCAGTTAGCAGTTTGCACTGCTACCATTTAATTTTGTCATTTTAATATTTCATTCAGTCTTTGTAAGTTTGCTTCACTTCATTTCATTTCATGGTTCTTGGAATCAGTTATCTAGCTTTGGAATAAGTGTGGGAAGTCCAGCCAAGTTTTCCTATTATGCCTGGTTGAGAATATCCCCTTGTACCTCAAGTCAGGTTATTTGAACTTACTTCAGATGCACGATCTATTTGGGAAAGCAGAAAAAAATACTTTTTGCAATATTGTAATGTTTAAGTTTTTAGATTCAACTTGTTGGTTACTGATCAATTATTGTTATTCAAATGTTAATTTGAAATAATTACATTGATTGCAGACAAAGCAATAATGGGGAGTGGAGCACATTGATAGCTATTGTCTGGTAGTCAATACGTTTGTGAGAATTTCCGATTTTCATGTGTGCAGTCGTGCAGTTCTTTATATGAATATTGCTGTGCTGTTTCTGATTTTATTCGTGAACCTTATCAAATAGTTGTCCTGTACGTATCCATTGGTAGATGCATACTTCCTGAAATTGTTTAATTTAATCACTGCCAAACTGTTGAGAGTGAGCAATACCACAGCCTACCACACATTGTACAACATTCTCGATAGAACTGCACCCTTCCATTGGTGACAAAATGCATGATCCTTGGCAGGGTAAATTAGGTGGTTTAATTTTTCAATATTCTGAGTTTAATTTTATGTCTCCTAAATCCAGTGCTTTTTGTATTCAAAGAATTTCACTCCTACAAATTCACTTCTTCTTTCTTTATCCAGAAATCAAAATTAATCATAAATGCATTGTTTCTGTAGCCCAGGAAGTTATGGTGCCGGAATGCCTCTGTCACCACGTAGTTTAAATAAGGTGTATCTTCTATTGATCATTCTGTGCCCTAGGGTATGCAGAATGCACCAAACCAGCTTTTTCGCTTCCCACCCCAAAAAAAAAGTAATGGAACGCTGGGAAAGTGTCTGCTTAAATAGCTTATTGAAAACTTTCAATTAGGTTAGTCCTTACATAATGGTGAACCACTTCTAAATGCAAGGCCACCGTGTCTGTGTGCAGTAGTATTCTCAATGTTAACTGCAAGATAGCTATATGAACTGATAAACATCTTTTGTGAAGAATCTGTATTCTAGATCAAGATTTTTGATATGTCAGGGCTTTGATGCTGTTTCAGCTTGAAATATAACAGAGTTCCATTTATACTTTTCTGTGTGATGTTGTTGATCGATTTTATGTAGAAGTTGAACACCTGACCTGGACACCTCTGGTAGCCAACTTGGTGAAGGTGAAGCATAATTTACCATAAATCAATGGGGACCTGAGAATCTGAGGTTCAGTTACCAACTGGTACTGAATTTTGATCAACAAATTGATTTATTAATCAAGAAAGTCAATTTGACCATATTAGGTTGGACACTGAAGATAAAGTAACCCAATGGTATATTAAATATTGACACTAAGTTAATGGAGGTCTATATTCTCAAAAGTAGAATAACATTCAGGCACCATGATCGCAACCTGTGCAGACTACTACTCCGTTTCTTTTAGTCACAATATTCTTAAAAATAGTTCATAACTGTACAACTGGAAGGTTGTAATCATGTGATCTGTGCTATCCCTGAACATTTGGATGATCTGATTTGAAACTCTGCTACCCTTTATCACGGAGAATAAATTCCCGTTAAACAGATATAAAAACTAACTTCTGTATTAAGCTATTATTTCCCATTTTGTACATACATTCAATACGTTGTGCTACCTCAAGGCAGTACCTTCCTAGCGTGCAGTTCCTAGAGTGCTAATTATTCTGTGATGCACTTATAACCAAGTAATTGCTGGGAAAAAGAGATATGCTATTGAAGATTTTCATTTTACACTGCTGATGCAGATACAAGATTGCCAAATATCGAAGGGAGCAACAATTTGTTTATAGTTTTGAAATTAAGTTTTCTTGCGATTCTGTCCTGATGAGTACACAGCGAAGAATATAGGTAGGGCAAAGCTCAAGTCGGCTATGCCATTTAATAAGATCATGTCTTATTTGACAGTAATCTCAAATCTTGCCTACCACTGAGAACTGTTCACCCCTTGCTTAACAAGAATCTATCCACCTCTGCCTTTGAAGTATTCAAGGACTCTGCTTCCACTGTCTTTTAAGGAAGTGAGTTCCCAGGACTCATGATGCTGCTTTGATAGCTTTCTGGAGCAGAGAATCCCGTAGACTGATGATCCTTGAGAGAGGAAAAAAAAACACCTCATCTCTGATTTAAATGAGTGACCGTACAGTGAGCCTTAGTTTTTGATTCTCCCTTAAGAGGAAGCATTCTCTCCACATCCATCCTGACAAGATCCCTTGTTTCAATCAAGTCACATCTTGTTCTCCTAAACTCCAGTGGATGCAAGATCAGCCTGTTCAATCCCTCCTCATAAGATAACCGGCCCATTCCAGTTAAACCTTTTCTGAGTGCAAGATGAACAGCTTTGACAGCATGTATCTTTTTTCAGTAATATTCAAATTCTGCATTATCAAGCATCAATGCCACGTGGTTAACCTATGCTTTCGTACACTATTTGCTGATTTCAGGGGCTGTAGTTTTAGTGCTACAATTGACCTAGCTAAGCTGGAGCCCTGGGCAGTGTTGTGGAGGTGTGGGTCAATTCAGCTATTCCTGATCAGCATCCAGTAATTTAGTTTTTTGGAAAATTGCCAGTTCACCTTCAGGAGTGAAGATGGAATTATTAATGTTAAATCCAGAGACCCAGATAATGTTCTGGGGATCCAGGTTCGAATCCTGCCACGGCAGATGGTGGAATTTGAATTCAATAAAAAAAAATCTGGAATTAGGAATCTAGAGAAGACCAGGAATCCATTGTTGATTGTCAGGAAAAACCCATCTGGTCCACTAATGTCCTTTAGGGAAGGAAACTGCCATCCTTATCTGGTCTGCCTACATGTGTCTCCAGACCCACAGCAATGTGGTTGACTCTGAACTGCCCTCTGGGCAATTAGGGATGGGCAATGCATGCTGCCTGGCCAGCAACGCCCTCACTCCATGAATGAATGAAGAAAAAAAATCTTAACATATTAATGTGCCTTGTAGCTTAATTTCTCAATGAATCACCGTTGCATGTGAGCTATGAAAGCTCAGTTTTATTCCTGCATTCAGCTCCCTCTTCAGTCCATTCATTTGTCATTTTATATGGACACAAATCTATTTGGTTGCTAAATGAGTAAATGTGCCCATTGTTATTAGCTAGCAAGAAAGAGGTCTTGTACGATAACTAAGAATCATTTAATCCATTCCACTGCTATTCTTTGTGCTACACTCAGCAATACTGGAATGCAAAATATTCGTAAAGCTGCCATGTAAAGTAACTCCCATATTTTGATAAAAAATTGTTTAGATCAATTCAGAATTTGCCAAAACTTCACTCCCCTGCAGCTCTTGTTTCAGTGATGTGGTTTCAGATTGCCAGATACATATGCACAAATAATAACAAACCAACATAGACCCTCTAGTCAATCTAGCCTGCCCCATGTATTTGTAGTGCCTGTATAACACAACATATTCACACCTACCCCACCCAGAAAAATGTGATCCCCTGGAAAAGGTGAGAAATTAGATTAAAAACTCAGACCACAGTGGGGATGGGGAAATTTGGGAAGGTCCTCTCCAACGCATTAGGATTCTGGTCCAGCAAATAACTTTGATCCTAAATTCTCTGTTGTGCCGACCTTTTGTAACAGCTGACTTCTTGCCCAACCAAAGCCACATGCATTACTGGCTTGAAAGCATTCAACCAGTCATCAACATTTTCCAGTTCTTTTGTTTTTAAACCTAGATCTGCCATATACAACTTAAAATTGTGACCCTGGTCCTCCCTAATCTTCTTAATCAGAACAGTTTGTCAGCTGTAATACAGTTAATTCCCTTGACGATCTTATAAACCTTAATCAGATGATCCTCCCCGCTCCAAGTCTACATTTCTGTAAAATTGTAAAATTCCAATTCTTTTGCTTGTCTTGACAATTAAGATGCCTTAAGTTGGCAATATCACTGACTAAGTGAAGGGACCAAAACACTCATTCCATTTGAGGCCTGTCCAAGGTCTTGTGTTAAGACAAATAGTACACCTCATCTAGCACGCAATCATCCTGTTAATGCATGCCAACATTATTTTCTTCCTGAAGCTATCATACACATGAGATTGAATGTACTCAGCTTGAAATAATCTCTTCAGGGTTTTATCCAAGCATTTCTGGTTTGAAATTATTACTAATTCTTTACTCTAAGGTAATTTAGTGTTAACAAATCTAACTATCTTCTTCCTTACTCAGGAGTACCACTTTATACATATACCTTCACCACAGGGTGACTTCAGAGCTATTTAAAAACTGAAACTAAAACTGGAAATTTTCTCAAAATTATGTGACTTTTCCCTAAACTTGGGAAAAAAAAGTCCAGAAATTTCTAACAGATCTTGATGAACAACTGTTTACTTTGCTGAGTCTTCAGCACACTTAATATTCATAACAAGCCAATAGTTCTGAAGGTGAGCTTTCACAGCCTTTTAAAAGAAATCACCATGGCTACATAAATACTTATAAGACAATTATTGAAAGCTTCAGACACACAAAATAGCCCATATGCCACTAACTCATTCCAAATATCTAAACTTAAAGTAAATGATACTAAAAATGTATATAAATCTCACAGCCTACATCTCACAGTTCAGCTCGTTTTATTACCACAAATCCCAGAGGCTCAGTCTTAGAGAGAAGCCTTTTGTATACTACTGTTTAAAGTCAAAGAAGACAATCTCAACTGGATTTCCTCATTCATCAGTTTCAAATAATGCAATTAATTGTGCAAGACATGACATTTTTATGAAGCCATGTTTGGTTTCCTTAATGTGTCTTTCGCCATCCAACATCTAGTAGTAATCATACATCACTAACAGAAAAGACATAAATATATAAATTAATAGTAAAATAATACTTTGAAATAATATATTGAGGTTTTGTAAATGTGTGTTGTTCTCATTCTCCAGACTGAGCTATAATATTTTAATATAAACCAGTAGAACTGTTTTTGCTAATAGGCAAATGTAGATATAAGCTACATGAGCGAATTGAGATTCCTAGAGGTGCTAGGGGTTCTGTGTGTGTATGAACAGATGATTCCAAACACCTTATGCAAAAACTTGAAATGTCTGTTGAGTGAGGATCTTTATTTGCTACTCTTTATTTGCTTTTTGCTTGATTCAGAATGTGTTTTACACAGTAAACTGATGATAAAGCTTATCTTGTAGATCCCATGGATGTGATTGATGTCGATTGGTCCAGCCTGTTGCCCAAGCAGCCTAAAGAGCCAAGGGAGCCTGGAGCTGCTCTGTTAAAGTTCACCCCTGGAGCAATCCTGTTACGAGCGGGAATATCCAAGCGTTTGGCTGGTGCAGAGTTGTTCGCCAAGGTCAATGAAACTTGTCGGGCTGCTATGAACAACACCAAAGGTATTGGTAATGTCACACCTCAGTTGTCACATTGATGTGCTGTAATATCATTAGGTGAATAGCATTATCTGAGTGGTGGGATACCAATATTACATGTATTGTTTGATTGACACTCCATACTGAGAAAATTACTTGGCATTCAAGACCTTGTAGGAAACTATTTTGTATTTCTTAATTATTTCTACAATTTAGGTTATCCGATTTTCTTCCTCCCAAATAGTTTGATGGGTTTTTGTATGAGCTGGAAGCAGGAGTAGATCATGAGGCCTTTGGACCCTGTTTCTCCCTTCAAAATGATCATCAGCCTTGACCCCAGCTCTACCTGCAGCCCATATCCTTGATTCCCTGAATGACCAATTATCTGTCCATCTCCGTCTTAAGTATATTTGTTGACAGAGCAGCTACAATCCTCAGAAGTAGAGAATCCCAAAGATTCACATTCTCCAAAAAACATGTCTGTAGGACTGGAGGTTAAATGATTAGTTTCAGTTTAGCTTCAGGACAGAACAATCTGGTTATAATAGTGCGAGTATATGACATGGAACCATATGCAATGCCTCAAAGATGCATTCATGAGCATCCCCATTATTTCTTTCCAACCCAAACTTCAAAGTAGGTGCAGTACCCATGATGAGTGAAGGATGCATAATATTCAAAATATAACTTAGACCCTTCCAGGCTGATATTCCAGCATTCTGCAGCAAATCTCAAACAAAAGTTCCTCGAGCAAAAGCTTTGCATTTCAAATGTTGGACTGGCGGAAAGTAATATGATTAGATTTTTGTTTGCCTACAGTATCTACTATATAAGGAATTGTGGATCATTGTGTTTGATTGAAATAATGGTAGTAAATGATCACTGTATTAAAAATACAATGTGACACAATGAATGCTTTCTTGATAAATGAGCTTCAGTTTGCAGTATTGATTACAACGCTTCGAAGTATGTGGATTGGTTTCTGGGCAGGTTCACAATCTAATTTCAAATCAAATAGCCTTTCTGTTGCTAAAATAGACTAGAAGAGGAGGTCTGAGCGAACTGAAGGTATTGTAAACAAATAAAAAGTACGACTGCTGAACTCTGCTTGTATATTTTAGTTTATTTCTAACTGCAGTCGTAATAATTGCATATTACTTGTATTTAATGCTATCAGCAGGGAATTGGGATTCTTGTATGAAAAGGAACAAGGGTCTTGTGCCACATTGGTAGAGGCCCTGCCTCTGGCTCAGAATTTCAGGATTTAACAGCTACCTGTCTGGAGATGTGTCATAACTAATCCCAACAGGTAGATTAGTGTAGAAAGAAAGAAACAGGAACTGGCTGAAACTGTAAGGGCTGGCTTAGGAGTCATCTATTCGTAATTTGTACCTCCGTAAATAAAAGCTTGTAAAAGCGTTTAAGGATTAGCTCCAGTTCCGGGAATGAAGGGTTTGAGATATAAAAATAGACTGGAAAGGCTGGGACTTTTTTCACTGGAAAATAGGAGATTGAGGGGTGACTTTTGAGGTTTATAAAATCATGAGATAAGGTGAATAAGTTGTTGAGTTCAATGCTAGGCAGCGTATTTTTAAGGTGAAAGGAGAAAGATTTAAAAAGAATGTGAGGGGCAACTTCTTTACATAAAAAGTGGTTCGTATGTGGAATGAACTGCCAGAGAAAAAACATTTGGATAATTTCATGAATAGGAAAGGTTTGAAAGGTTATCAGCCAAGCGCAGGCAAATGGGACAAGTTCAGTTTGGGAACATGGTCGGCATGGACTGGTTAGGCCAAAGGGTCTGTTTCCATCCTGTATGACTCTTTAAGCCCATGTGAATGTGTGATTGGATTTCATAATGAAACTAAGTAGCAAACTACTGGCAAAAATAACCGATTACTTATCTCTAAGATTGGTATTATTTTATACCATAATCATAATTTCAGAAATTTGTATTCTTTTATGTGTGGGGGGTATAATTTTGAATCCTGGACACACAATGTAAGATTATTAAAGCATCTTTTGAAGGTGTTTTCCAGTCATGCTCCACACGTAAAGAAGTAGAATATCCAAATGAGGAGTCATTGGATACAGTAAAACGGTGCCTACGGCAGCCTCAAAAGACTTGAGAATACAAAATTGCAACTGTAAACTTTTTTCTCTCTGCATAATCCTCCATTTCCTTGTTCTTCATGCTTGATTCCTTTTAAATGTGTCTGTATTTAACTACTCCTTGTGGTTGTGAGTTCCATATTCTCACCATTGTCTAGGTAATAGTATGACTTCTGAATTCTCCATTTGATTTCTTGACTATTTTAATAGCCACTGGTTTTGCTCTTCCCCATAATTGACATCACTTTCTCTGTGGCTATTCAATCAAAACCTCCTGTAATTTTAAGTATTTCTATTAATAAATAGATAACATCTACAATTTTAATCTGTTCATCTTTTTCTTGTCCAAGTATGAATATGTTTGTGTCTTTTGCATCCTTAATACAAACATTGTCCTTATTCATCATACTTGTAATTTTCTTGAAGATGCAGAAAACCTTTTCGAACATGAGCTTGGAGCCCTCAACATGGCTGCTGTACAGAGAAAAGAGGAGAGAGCGAGTTTGCTTAGTAACCTGGGACCCTGCTGTAAAGCACTTTGCTCTCGTAGGGATCTTGCCATTCGCAAACAGCTATTAAGAAATGAAAGAGTAAGTCTCCTTCCACTTTTGTTTTATCACTAACTGCAGTAGTATCTAGGGTGAAATTTTATGTCTGTCTCTGATTTAGGTCTATGTAACGTAGTAGGAAACCGTAAGAAACAGGAGCAGAAATAGGCCGTTCAAACTGTGCACGATTCAGTGAGATCGTGGCTGATCTGGTAATCTTCAACTCTGCTTTCCTGCCTTTTCCCTATTACTCTTGATTCCCTTACTGATTAAAAATCTGTCTATCTCAGCCTCAAATATACTTAATGACTCAACCTTGACAGCCCTCTGTGCTAGAGAATTCCACAGATTCACAACCCTCTGAGAGAAGAAATTATTCCTCATCTTTGACTTGAATATGCAACCTATTCTAGTAAGACATGGCTTAAGTCTAACTAATTTTGAATCAGGTAAGCTTTGTGTTCAATTTACCGTCACAACTCAGAATCTAGAATGAGCCATTAATTTTGAAGCTAATAGTAGCATATCCTATAGTGAATTTCTAAAAATATGATATTAAATGGAGATTTAAACAAGTCAAAGTCATTTTATTGGGAAACTTGCAGTGAAGATTAAGTATGTGATGCTCTATGTTAGCTCAATGTTGACAGAGTCATAGAGCAGGCAAGATTCCTATGCTCAATTGGCTCATCTTGACTTGGTCAGAGCAGAGAATTGCAAACAGGGTAGACCCCTGTGTAAAAACATCTTAAGTATTTGATCCTGTGTCAAATCAGTAAGCTCAGCTTTGGTGGCCACAACCTGTAGTCACTAAATGCCCTGAAAGTAGAAACATCATTCCCAGGCTCCGGCTACTTAGTGCCATCCAACGATTATGTTGAAGTGAATTTGTATAAATATCTGGTAAGAAAGTAAGAAACCATAGGCATCATGCCTGCTGCTCACCTATTTGCAGCTCATCACCACTGCTTCCATAATAGAAGCCTCTGTCTCTAGAAAACAGCCATTATTTTTCTTCCAGTAATTTACTTTAGTATCCCAAGCATTTATCGTTACTTGCAGAATAACATTCTTTCTGACCTAATTTCAAGCTTTTCACTAACTTTCATTTGTAATTTCTAGAAATCATTGATTTCCTGTCCTGTTGAAAATTCTTTCAGCCCAGCTTTGTGCCACTGCATAGTCCTTACTGGGGCCACTTCCTGAAATTCCATTTTCCCAGAGTTTGTTCACTTTCTCATCAATTTAATTTCCTCTTAAAAGTGTACTAGAGTTTGCTTTCAATAGCCAACATGAGCTGAAGCATTCCATATCCTAATACCTGTTGCTTGCACACTAAAACTATAGGCTCCCTCTTTATCCATCTAGTTCTTCAGTTATCTATACGTGCTATGCCCAGTGGGAAGTCTTTGGCTCATTGTCCGCGGAAACCTCGTTCTGAGCCATTTTCTTGACTTTTTTTGTCAGTAATGGTTTGCCTTCTGCTGTCAGGAGCAGAGAAGGGAAGGAGGTGCCAAACCTTGCTCAGCTGTAGTGGAAATTGAACCCACGTTGTTGCTGTTGTTCTGAACCTCACACCAGCTATCTAACTAGCTGAGATAACTGACCCCATCTACCGAGTACCAGTATTATATTGAAAATCTTTGTTACCCATTTATTGACTAGAAATTTAAAGGAACATTTTACTGTTTACATTCTCCACTCCTTTGATAATTCAAAATGTTTCTATCAAAAACTTCCTTTTGCCTTGTCCCTCCTTTTTCACATTTCCATGCCTGTCCTTCGTAGTATTACTCCCTTTGGGTGTGCTGATGGCACCCAAACTTACTTGTTTGCCTCTTCTCTTGATGCCCATGGCTAACCCTATTTCTATGGAACCACAATATTCAGCTCAACATTCATTTTATTTTTGCATTCCTTCTTTTATTTGCCTTTCATAAACTCCAGCTTACAATTAATCTATGCGTGTCTGTTTCCACTCTAAATCTGTTCCTTCATAAATATATTTCATCGTTGACTATTTTGGTTCCTTGCCCTAATCCATTAAATCTACAATTCCTGTTTTTGTTTTCAAATCTTTGATCTTGCTGTATTTTACCTCTGCAATTTTGTCTAGGCTTCCCTGTTCTCTCTCTCTCACTGTTTAATGTCAGACCCTGGCTTCCTGTGCATCAAGGCACAATTAATAGCAGAACTCTCAAATACTCAAGTTGTTCTTTCTGGAACACCGTCTCCCTCTTGGCTTTTTTTCCTGTTTGTTCTCCGTCCTGTTTTCCTCCTTGTCCTGTCCTCCTTACCAAAAAACAATTCAAAATCCATTTTTCACCAGGCCTTCACTCGCTCCTACTTTGGTGTACTGTTTGTTCCTCTTAATAAAATGCTTTTGAATGTATTATATGTTAAAAGCACAGTGTAATGCTGTCTTTTGTTTAATACGTCATTGTAGCAAATTTCCACCCTGATCTGCTTCAGCACAACGTTGCCCGATGCTGGAGGTTTGTTTGTTTTTGGTCCCTCGAGAAATTGACATATAGCTAGAACCTTTCTTCCCTAAATTCCAAGCAATCAGCACTGTCTTTGAAGAAACTGTCCGTTGTTTAGGCCCGACACTTGAATTCATCTTCAGGACCCCTGTTTCTTCACTTCCAATCCCTTTGATCAAGTTCTTACTCTCCTTTGTCTCTTGGTTGTATGCTTGCACAGATCGTTGAAGATGGCAGGATGGAATGAGAAATTAATAAAGGATACAGTATCATGGGCTGTATTAGTAGGAGCATAAGAGTGCAAGTGTAAGGAGGTATAAGGCACTTGTGAGACTTAATCTAGATTGTTACGTACCGTTTTGAGTGCCGGACTTTCAGAAGGATGTGAATGCAAAAGAAATTTGGAACAATGGCTCCAGAGATCAAAAACTTCAGTTATGCAGATAGGTTGGCGAAGTTGGGACTGCTCTCCTTGAAGAGAATGTTCAGAGAAAATCTAATAGTAAGTTTCAAGATCATGAGGAAATAAATAAGGATAGAAATGGAGAAAATGTTCCTGCTCATTAGAGGATCAAGAATGAGAGTGATTTAAAGTTATTTGTAGAAGAAGCAAATGAGTAAAAACGTTTTCACCCGAATGGTTTGGGTCTGGGTTGCACTGCCTGGAAGGGTGGTTGAGGCAGGTTGAATTGACACGTTCAGAAGGGTTTTGGATGATCATTTAAATGGAAACAGTTTAAGATTTTAGCAAAGATTTGTAGCTCGGGTTGTGAGTGAGGGTGTTGTCTTGCTCGCTAAGCTGGCTTGTTTTCATTCAGACATTTCATCACCATGCTAGGTAACATTATCAGTGAGGCCTCTGATGAAGCGATGTTGTTCTACTCTGCTTGGAATTTATACTGCCCGCTCCATTATGGTGAGTACTGTCATTTCCGGTTCTGTTCTGTATGGGTTTATATATTTGTTTGTTGATTGCATTACGGGTTGAGAACCATGCCTCTAGAAATTTCCATGCGTGTCTATGTTTGGCTTGGGCTACTACGGTTACATTGTCCCAGTTAAACAGATGGCCTTCATTGTCCAAGTGTACTGATATTAGGGAACGTTCATCATGTTGTTTTGCTGCTAGCTGATGTTCATGTATTCTGATGGCTAGCTTCCTTCCTCTCTGTACGATATAATGCTTGTGGCAGTCGTTGCATGATATTTTGTAAACTACGTTGGTTCTGCATGTCGTGGCAATGGGGTCTTTAATCCTTGTGATTAAAGAGCATTATAATCCTACCAGCAGACAAAGGGCGCGTGACCCTCATTACAATGCCTGAGAAAGCACAGGCATTCCTTGCAGATATAAGCACTATCCAACAGGTGGCGATAAACCCAACAATGCAGCTAGGTAATGGATCACCTGGACAATGAAGAGACTAAAGGATGCAGGGCAGATAACCAAGATGGACTACATGAGAATGAAACTAGAAGGCACGAACACACCCCGCTTCAATGGAATTTCCTTAAGTACACAACCCATTGTCTCCCTACCAGGCACACCTTCACACAAACTGGCCAAGGGCCTACAACAGACACTGAAACACCTAGTCGATTGATCATCCAATTCCATCCACTCAACCCAAGAATTCCTCAATACCTTCAAGAACATAAAAATCAGTGACGACGAGATTATGGCATCCTTTGATGTCACAGCATCATTTACATCATTCGACATCCCACTAGCCAAAGAAATACTGGCCACGTTACTAAAGGAAGCAGCAGCGCAGACCAGCAGCTCCATCAGCAATGACAACATTCTCAATCTACTAGACCTGTGCCTCACCACACACTTTGTCTTAGATGGTCAAGTATACAGACAGATCAATGGCACACCCATGGGATCACCCATCTCAGGACTCATTGCAGAGGCAGTCATGCAAAGACTAGAACACACTACCCTCCCCCTCATTCAACCTAAACTGTGGATCCAGTACGTGGACAACACATTTGTCATCATTAAACGCACCAAACTAGAAGGGACCCACCACTCATCAACAACGTATTCGCAGGGATTAAATTCACGAGAGAAGAAGAAAACAACAATAGCTTCTGTTTCTGGATGTCAGAGTTGAACTTTTGACCAACAGGGAGTTCCAAACCTCGGCATACAGGAAAGCAACCTACACTGACCACATCCTCAACTTCCACAACAACCACCCCAACGTCCACAAACAAAGCTGTATTAGGACACTAGTTAAATGGGCTACCACTGACTGCAACACACCAGAACTAGGCAGGAAAGAGGAAGAGCACTTACACAAAATCTTCGCTATGAATGGATTTCCCCGCAATTTCATCCACAGGTCCCTACTAAATAGACAACAAGAGGACACAGTACGCCCTAACACACTGGCCACACTGCACTACATCAAGAACATATCAGAACTGACAATGAGACTCCTGTGACCACTAGGAATCATGGTAGCACACAAGCCCCACAGTCAGGCTACGACAGACACTCACAAGGATTAAAGACCCTATACCCACAACATGCAGAACCAACGTAGTTTACAAAATACCATGTAACGACTGCCACAAGCATTACATCGGACAGACAGGAAGGAACCTAGCCATCAGAATACATGAACCTCAGCTAGCAGCTAAACGACACGATGAACTTTTCCTAATATCAGTGCACTCGGACAGTGAAGGCCATCAGTTTAACTGGGACAATGTAACCATAGTAGCCCAAGCCAACCATAGACGTGCACGGGAATTCCTAGAGGCATGGTTCTCAACCCATAATGCAATCAACAAACATATAGATTGGACCCCATATATAAATCCATACAGAACAAAACCAGAAATGACACTACTCACCACAATGGATCCGACAGTATAAGTTCCAAGCAGAGTAGAACAACATGGTTTCACCGGAGGCCTCACTGATGATGTTACCTAGCATGGTGACAAAACGTCTGAATGAAAACAAGCCAGCTCAGCGAGCAAGTCAACACCCTGAAATCGAAACAATGTGCAAGGGGTTAGGAAAAACACAGGAGTGTGGCACTAGATAATGATGTTCATTTGGAGAGCCTGTGAATACACAGTGGACAGAATAGCCTCCTGTATGAAACCTTTAACACCAATTTGTATTTTCATTTCATGGTGTATTTGTCATATGCTCCTTCCTCCTCACTGTAGCTTCCGAGAGATCCCAAGATGAGAGGCTTCCCTTATGAGGAGAGATTGAGCCATTTAGGCCAATACTCACTAGAGCTTCAGATGAAAGGAGATTGATTTCAAGTATATAAAATGCTATACCAGATTAACAAAGTAGATGTAGAGAGGGCGTTTCCCCTTGTGTGGCAATCTAGAATGAGAGGTCATAGTATTAGGCTGTAGGGTGGCAGATTTAAACATAGATGAAGAGAAATTATTTCTGTCAAAGGGTTGTGAATGTGTGGAATTGACTGTCCCAGAGTGCAGTGATACTGGGACCCTGAAGAAATTTGAGGACGTGATAGACAGCAGTTTAATCAGTAATAGTTTGAAGGCTTATTGGGAGCAGGCAGGAGTTGAAGCCAAGATGAGATCATAATCGTATTGAATGATGGAGCAGATTCAAGACATTTTAGAACAGAATAGAATATCCTTTATTGTCACTTATACTACAATACAGAAGTGTAGGAGTACAGTGAAAATTTTTTACAGTGGCTCCCTTTTAATGGCGCCATCTTAGGTATAAGTATCTAGGTAGAAATCTTAAGAGTAAAACATAATAGTGGTCTTCTATGAAGAGGATTAAAGGAAAGCATATGCATTACTTACAGACATAGTTACAACATAGTGAAAAGGTTTTAAATTACAGTCCGATGACAGCAGCTCAGCATGTGGCACCAGACCACTCCTGCTCCTCGTTCTTATGTGCCAAAGTCCAAATTGGAAACCAGGTCCTCATTTGTTCCAAGTCTGATGTTGAATGGGCTGCTTGAGAGATTTATGAGAAATAAGCCTTTTTGATATTTGTACTTACTAAAAACATATAACACATTGACATTGAGAGATTCATTTTGTTCATTTTGCTTTTATTATTGTATTTATTTGTATTTGTATTTATTTATCAGGGTACAATAAAGCAGATATATACAAATCCACCAGTCGTGGACAATGACCTTCTGAGATCAAGCCTTCGGTTGTTCAAACGCAAGGCACTATGTCGGGGTCCTGGACAGGAAAAAAGTGATGAGACCAAGATTTCTCGACCAAAGGTTAAACAGGAAGTTTGTGTGACGTAAAATTTTAGCAACATCATGGATTGAGTTTGATTTTGGTGAATCTGTATATAAAGAACTGGACCTCACACCTGAATAATTGGAAGGATACTATGTGCTTATTTACCAGCCTGACTCAGGACCTGTAATGGTCAAACTTTAAAGTTCCAGCTTTCAAGAGTGTTTGTTTTAGGAGTTCTGATCACCTTGTCAGATACTGTTCTATGTACTGGACAAGTGAATGTTTCATTTTTGCAGTACAGTTTTGAAGTCTTTAATAAAACCTTGTCAGCTTTGTGCTTTTTTTTTGTTTAAATGTGTTTTTTTTTGTTTAAAGGTGTATGCAAAAAGAGGTAAATCATAGGAATTAAATCCAATCACAATTTAATATCTTGCCATTGTGTGTAATGATCATTGATTTTTCAGCCTCAGTAATGTTCAGGAAGGTGAGTGCTTTTATGTGTCAAATCTTTATACTAAGTATTCCGAGGCACAGTCAAGTGCTTCTTTTCATCCAGGACCATTTACAACCTTGAAAGAAGGAAATCTCACCAAATAATGAATATATAATGTTCACTCCAATTAATTTTTAGTTGAAGAGCCACACAATGTATTTGCTTATAGAGCAGCTTAGTCAACCAATTTAAATTTCTTACGGACGAAATGATGTCAGTAGCAAGGATTTCCTTCAAATCTGAACAAAACAATTGTGTGACCTTTGTGTATGTCTGGTTACATTACAGCTAAAAGATCTCTTCAAACGGGTAGTTGTGCTTTGGTGAATGTCCAAAGGTAAAATTCATTGTTCCTAACCTGTTCTGTTGAGTTTCACACATGCACAAGTGTATTTGAATGTTTTCAAACATCATGCTATTTTTATTACCAAGACCTTAGAGTTGACGAATGATACAAAACAGAAGAAAACTGTCATCATTTGAAACCTGACTTCAGACTAAATAAGAGGTTAACACAGGTCTGTGAAACTGTACAATAATCCTGCATCTTCTAGTAACCAATCACACAGAAGACTCACTTAACTTTATCATTGGAGGAATCGATTAGATGCAATGCGTTACAGCAATACGGATATGGCACGAGAAGACAAAACCTATTGAGTTTGACTCTGTGGTTTTAAAAACAAAGATTTTGTCTTGCCAAATTTGTAAGACTATTACGTTTCTTCAAAATTACGTGCAAAACGTAATTAGCAGACATTTTTCATATCTATATTTATACAATGCACTGTTCGTATTTTTTATGAACTTTTATGCTTTACATCCCTATTTAATTTTAAATAAATATATTAGTTGGTTTAGCCTGAAAAGCTGGTCTCAGTTTGATATTCACCTTTCTGAATTAGTTACAATGTATGTGATGGCCTATGTTTAACTTTAGTGAACAGATTTCTGCATGTATGGTTAAAACAAGTAAACAAGGATAGGTTCTTGAGTGCACAATCTATTGATTATAAAATTCTGAAAAATGCCTTTGTTTTGATGTGAACTGTAGTGAGTGGGTGGCAGTCCTGGATTTCTCTCAGTTAAGTTCTCTTTACAGTTTTAAGCATAATAGATTACAGTAACATTTTCAATTTATGTCCCCTAGCTCTTGATTCCCCATCAAAGAAAATAATTGGCTGCTCAATTGGTCACCGTCATCGATCAAAGTGACTTTGTCAGGACAGCAGCCTAATCAAAGTTAAAACAATGAGGAAAAATTATGCTCATTGAAACCACAACCTGATTGCATACTGAGGGAATTCAGGTACAATTTCAAAAACGAGTGTTTTTTTAGATTATCATATAGCTGTGCAAAAAGTGAAGTGGTACAAGTTGCAAGCACGCAGGTAAAGTGCTTGAGGCAGAAGGGTCTGATGATGTGATCACATTACCAGTCTGTAGATGTAAACAATTCTGATTCTTGCATGTTAAATTCCAAACCACAGCCAATGACTTTGTGTCCACCCTCATAATGCGTTGTAATTTAGTAGAGGAATCAACTGATTTCACTTCAGAGCTGTCAGGTAAAGAGAGAGAGCAGTTTGCAGGGTTGTTAAGCACAGTATTTTTATTTCTTGTTTTAAGGCAAATTCAGTCACAGAAAAGTGTTCTTGCACTCGTAGTACTGTCACTACATGAGTAATACTAACCAACCTCTTACAGCAAGTTCTTTTTTCTCATGGTGAGTTTAATGTGTTTAATGATTCATCATTTTACACCTGCAATACTCCTCTACTCTGCGATGCATACAGCCAGGGGGAGCATTAAGAAAGCAAATAAGGTAATCTCATACTGATGCTGGACAGAATGTGCTCTCCAGGGAGATCAGTATGATGAATTATCCTCAGTAAAGGACAGAAATGTAGATCAAATTAATGAGTAAACAAACCAACCCATCCTGTGTGTTTTAAACAAGTTATTGATTGATAATAACCATGGCCTTGACTATCTTGTTGGACAGCCTCACTGATGTTAGTTTTCTTTACAGTGAAGCCACAGCAATAAATCCCTACACAGATCAATAACTTACATTACAGCATTATTTAAAATATGAAGTTCTCTTCCATTTAATCAATGTACTATTGACTGGCTGTATCCTATACAGGTACAATGCCCAAGAACATTTAACCCTCGGCACATTGACCTTTGAGAGAAGGAGGCTACTCTGTAGAACTGCTCATGTTTCAGCAAAGAAACTGTTTTTGTTAAATATAGTAAATTTCCCAAAATGGTTTATGGTGTGGGTTCTGTGGGAAATTCAGATTGTAGTTATGGATGTGAGTAGCTCACTTTTGGCTTGGCCATGGTCCCAATTTCTAACATTCAATTTACTGTTCTTTTATGCTTCATGTACAGAATGTGTGTTTAAAGCTTTCAGCACATGGTATGGATCGTACCTCAATGTGTGTTCAACTACTAATTGGATTTTTTTAAAGGTGTAAGATTGATACTAAATCGGTTCAATTTAATTTGAGCAATGTTTAAAAAGTTGTTCCTGATTATGCATATTTACCCGAAATCTAAAGGAGGATCTTTCACATGAGGTAATTTTTAAAGGAAAGGATTAATTCACGAATAAAAGCACTTCATATTTAAAGTATCTTAGAATCGTAGAGTCATACAGCACGGAAACAGACCCTTCGATCCATCCAGTCCTTGCCGACCAATTTTCCAAAACTAAACTAGTCCCAACTGCCTGCGCTTCGCCCATATTCCTCCAAGTATTTCTTCTTCATGTACTTACCCAAATGTCTTTTAAAAATTCCAACTGTATCCACATCCACCACTTCCTCTGGAAGTTCATTCCACACACAAACCATTTTGTGTGTGTAAAAAAAAAAATTGCCCTTCATGCCCTTTTTAAATCTTTCTCCTGTCACATTAAAAATATGCCCTCTAGTCTTGAAATCCCCCACCCTGGAGAAAAGATACCTGCCATTCACCTCATCTATACCCCTCATGATTTTATAAACCTCTGTAAGGTCACCCGTCAACTTCCTACGCTGCAGTGAAAAAAGTCCCAGCCTCTCCTTATAACTCAAAACCCTCCATCCCTGGCATCATCCTGTTAAATCTCTTCTGAACCCTCTCCAGCTTAGTAATATCTTTCCTAAACCAAGGTGAAAAGAAAGGAAAATTAATGGCCTCACTTTTGATTTATTTAACTCCCTTTCCAAAGGATGAATTTTCTTGCTGGCTTGGAGATCCTACAACAATTTTCCCCTTCCCTGCAGTTGCTGCCTCATGAAGAAAATCACTGACATCCCAAAATATTACCTCCTAGGGAGACAATCCATACTTGAAGGTTTTCATGATATCAGGAAAATTGATACTTTCAAATTACAGATAATAGGAGGTATGCTTATCATTTTCCTCCACTGAAATGTATAATCAATTTCATCAGATTTTTACCCCTGCCCCGATAATACATCTCTAAGTGCAGTTTCCAATTTGCACAGAGAAAATCAGCTAAAAAGGAAAGATGTGTATTTATGCTTAACCACCAACCAATTATGTAATTTTGAACTGTAGTCAGTACTGTGATACAGGGACCTTGACAATCAATTTATGTAAGGCAAGCTCCCACAAACAGTAATGGGAGAATCCGAGGTACCTGGTTTGCTTCAGGACGTGGTCGAGCAGTTTCAGGGCCGAAGAGATTACGAGAGAGTTGCAGTGGGAGAGAGATCCCTTGAGGTTTGTCCGGAGGGAGGAGGGTAACTTCTTCAGGTTAGGCATCCTTAGAAGAGGCTTCGCAGTGGGGTTAAAATTGAATCAGAGATAGTAGGAACTGCAGATGCTGGAGAGCAGTTTCAGGGCCGAAGAGATTACGAGAGAGTTGCAGCAGTTTCA